AAGGAAGACACCTCTGGGTTTTATCTGCTTGGGTAGAACTGGCTCCTGGATAAGTTCCCAGAAGGTCTTAGGATGCCCATGTAGGGGGTCTGTGCTTCCCAAGGCCCCTAAAGGGATCAGTTTGTACCCACCAGTTTCAGTCAGTGCCCACTCTTACCCCTGCCCTTCTGAGAGAAGCCTCTTTGGCATCTAAGTGTCTTTGGAGAGTGGATTAATTTCCTATTGCCACAGCAGTGTGCTGCCACATATATAGTGGCTTACAACAACCAAGTTAATTTTCTTACAGTTCTGGAAGTCAGAAGTCCAAAATTAGTCTTAGTGGACTAAAGTCAAGGGGTCATCAGGGCCAGTTCTTTCTGGAGGCTCCAGAGAAAACTCTGCTTCCTTGCTTTTTCTAGTTTCTAGAAGCTGCCCAGATTTCCTTGGCTCACAGCCCCTCCTCCACCTTCAAATCCAGCAGGGGATTTGAAGCATCCTCCCTGTTTTTGACCCCTGGTCTGGTTCTTATATCTTTTCTCTCTGATTCCAGTCTTCCTGCCTCTACCTTATAAGGACTAGGTGGTTACATAGGGCATTCCTGGATAGTTTCAGGCTAATCTTATCCCATTTTGAGATCCTTATTTTGATCACATCTGCAAAGTCCTCTTTACTATGTATGGTAACAGTCACAGGCTGTGGATTTAGAAAATGGACATCTTCAGTGGATCATAATTCAATTATCCCAGTCAATTTCAGAACCTAGACTTAGGGAGAAGAGTGTATTGAAACTCCGGTGCTGGAATGGGAAATTATAGATAGTCCCCTAGGTGGGTGACCATCTACTGACTTACATGCTTTAGCTGTACAACAGCAAAATCCATTTGCTCTCTGGGCATACTTAGATTCCCCTTTTTGAACTATTCAAGGGCCTTTATTCAGAGAAATGTGTACTCACATGAGATGTACACATCTCCTCAAAGCCACGGCCATTTCCTTCCTTCTTCCTTCTGTTCATGGAAGTCACTGAGTGCCCTCCCCGTGGGAGGTGGCGTGCTGGCAAAATCCAAGTTGTCTCCAACACATATCCTTTCTTTTGTGGAGCTTAATTTTTCTCACAAATGGGAAAGAATAACAAAGTCATTTTTATCTGGCTCTGAGATGTGTTTTGTACTTGTATTTGAGCGTGGGTGGGCCTGATGTTCTGGGAACTCACTTCAAACAAAACAGCAAAACGGTACATAAGTATCACTCTATATCACTAGATGCATTGAAATTTCAGGTTGTTAATCTTGCAAGCTAAGAATTTTAGGTTTTTGCCTTTCTTTTACTTTAATAGGATGATGAGTCTTTTCCTAATGAAGATTTTAGTTCAAAAGAGGTGTTTAGCTATGATTCATGTAAAATCACTTCTAGTGAAGGTTAAATATAGTTTGGGACAGTAGGTATTAGGTAAGCGAAGTGCTGGCTAGCCCTCTTGTTTTTTTATGCTGGATCTGAGTGGGTAAGTTCCTGCAACCTGGGCATACTCTGAAAAGCACTTCTCTCTGTGGCTGATGTACAAATGCCCAGCGTGGTCAGCCTTCCTGGTTGGGAACATAGCTCTTCCCCCCCGTGGCCTTCCAAAGGCAAAGAGGAATCTCCAGCAAGATCTCTCTTCAGCCCAGAATGCGAGTGGAGAAAACAGAGCTGACTTCTCTGGAAAAAACATAACCAACCTTGTCTTACTCTGGTCATGGAAACCAAATTGACACCTCATTATCGCCTTGTTAGTAAGGGCAGTCTGTGTGCTGGACAAACCTGGTAGGAAGAGTTGGCCCTATGAGGGCTGGGTTTTGAGTTAAGCTTAATTGCTCTTCTAAAGCTGAACTACCTAATGCTACCCAAGTCGAAATCTATCATCAGACTTGACCATCCTCTTCTTTTGTATTTTTGTAGTGCCTCCCCATTCCATTGCCGCCAAGATTTGTGCTGGGCCACACTGGAGTCCCTAGAGCTTGGCTACAACCAGGGCAACTCCACCTCCCTGAAAAAAAAGAAAAGGTCTATAACTACCCTTCACCTTGGCCTTCCCAGTATCTTAAAATGCCAGCTTGTTCTGCCCTTGGAGCTCAGCAGGTCTGCTAGCTGGGTGGCTCTTTAACAACTTCACAGCAAGTGTTTGATTTTTCACACAAATGGGAAAGAGTAACAAGATCATTTGTGTTAATCAGCTTTTTGTCACTGTGAAAAATACCTGAGAAAAACAACTTAAAGTAGGAAAGATTTATTTTGGCTCATGACTTCAGTCCATGGTCGACCAGCTTCATTGCTTTAGGCCCGAAGTGAGGCCTAAAGAACCCCAAGGCAGAAGGGTGTGGCAGAGGAAAGCAGCCTACTTCACAGTGGCCGGGAAGGGGAGAGGAGAGGAAGATGGAGGGGGAGAGGGAGCAGGGGAGAGAGTGCGTGTATGGCAGGGGACAAGAAATACCCTTCCAGGACATGCTCCCCAGTTACCTACTTCCTCCAACCAGGCCCCCCTCCCACAGCCTCCACTGCCTCCCAGGGGTCCATTTAGGTATCAGTGGATTAGTACAACGATGAGGTCAGAGCCCTCATGATCCATCACTTCCCAAAAGCCCTGACTCCGAACACTGCTGCATTGGGTACCACCAGGCCTTTGGGGAACACTTCACCTCCAAACGATAGCATCATTTTTATATGGCTCTGAGATGTATTTTGTACTTGCATTTGAATGTGGGTGTGTCTGATGTTCTGGGAACTCACTTCAAATAAGACAGGAAACAGCCGATGAGGGTGTATCAAAGGGACTACATACTTTAATTGCCTGATGCTTCTCTTCTTTTCAAAGCCTACATGCTCAACACCCATCCTCACCAAAGTGAATGTTTACTAAAGAGGCCATCTAATCCCTCCGAGCTGTAGGTTCTTGCCTTGCAAAATTGGGGTGAAAATGACCAAATGAGGTGACACAGGCTAAGCTCTGGCCACACCGTTGTGTCATAATAGATGTGATCAGTGTCTCCTATTCCCCTTCCTCCTCTCCACCTCCACACTGCCTCCAGTGCAAAGCGCAAACCTAAGCAGAAGCCGACTTCCACTCCAAAGCGGAAGAGGTACAACAGGCCTGTCTCCAAAGTGGGACAGTTGTGACATGCCACCACTTTCCACACATCTCCTCTTTTTCCCCACCTGAGCCTCTCTCTCCCTTTTTGCTCTCTCCCTTTGGACTTTTGTTGCACAGTGTCTGGGACAAAGGAGACTAAACTGTCCCAGCTGGGGATTTCCGCCCCACCTCCCATTCACGAGCATGCTGACTGCATGGCCTGCCCTGTCTGTGGCAGTCCTGATTTCAGATTCCACAGGCCTGTTCTTCCCATTCCGATGTCTTAGAAGTCCAGTTCATCAAATGTTGAACACATTTCTTGATTATACCCACTTCCCACAAGGGATCCTTAAGACCTCAGAGCCCTGACTCTGGTAACCACTCATCCCAGACTTTCTGGCAAAGTCTATCTCATTTCCAGACTAAGTGTCCTCATTTGGTCCACAAAACACCATAAGCAACCGACATAGATCACCTGAATGGCCCATGTCAGGCAGAACACCATTCCCTCCTTGCTGTCCCATAAGATTCCATGAGAGCTAACTCATGCCTACTACCCCGAATTTAGATTTTTCACTTGTAATTTTTGGGTTGTTGCTTATGTTAGTTGGTTTAAGAGCTGAGTTGTTATTCTGGGATGTGAAATGAGGACAAGGATGAAAATAAGTTTGGCAAAGATATACATACAGTTCACTCTGCGTGCAAATCTGAAACCTGCTTTTTTCACTTAACATTGGAGCATATGGATTTTCTCATGTCATTAAATGTTTTTTTTTTTTTTTTAATTTTTGTTTTTGTAACCGGTGACTTTACCTAAAAGATTCAAGATAGTGTTTATCATTAGCAATGATGGGCAGGGTGGGATGGGGAGAGCAAGGACCCAAGGGGGCTGGCTTTAGCATGCTGGAATGTTTTCTATATTAGGCTTGAAACTGAATAAACTTTTTTTTTTTTTGGTATTGAGGATTGAATCCAGAGGTATTTTACCTCTGAGCTAGATCCCCAGCCTTTATTTTAAAATTTTGAAAAAAATTTTAGACAGGATCTTGCTAAGTTACTGAGGCTGGCCTTGAACTTGCAATCCTCTTGTCTCAACCTCCAAGTCACTAGGGTTACAGGCATGTGCCATCCTGTTTGGCTGGATATACTTTTTTTTTAATGTCTTAAATTTTACATAATAATGTAGAAATTTAAATATCATTAGTAAATGATTACTTGATGTTTAATTATGTAGATATAATTTACTCAGATCAAATCCCATCTTCCCACTATTGGATGTTGGTTATTTTCAACTTGGAACTCTTAAAACAATATAATGTTAAATATCTTCAGATATTTTGTCTTAGAATAGATTTGTAGAATTGAATTTTGGGTATAAAATATGGGTGTGAGGAATTCATATTGCCAGACTACCTTTTACCAAAGCAGTATGAATTCAGACTAGTACTGACATTCTATCTATTCCATGTAACCTCTCCAGGGCTGGGAATGTAGCTCAGTGATTCAGTGATAGAGAGCACTTGCCTAGCATGCATGAGGTCCTAGGCTCAATCCCCAGTGCCAAAAAGAAAAGAAAAGAAAAAAGGTATCACTTCCACTTAATTTCTCCAGCACTGGTTCTATTTTTATTATCATCAATATTTTTAATGTTGGCTGTTTTGCAAGGTAATTTTTGTTTCTAATGGTTTCCATTTGTATTTCTAATTACCAGGGAGATGGCACGTTTTGTCATATAATTTTCCAGTGGCACTTGTGTCTTTTTAAAACTTGTAAGCCTAGGTGTTTTCAACTCATTTGTAAGTGGCACCCACATAGAAGGGTCTTCTTTATGGGGAGGGGGACCAAAGATAAGCAAAAACAGTCCCATGTCCCCTTCACTGAAGCCAGCTGTGCACCTAGACCTCTCGTCTTCCTGCAGTGCCGCCAAGCTCCTGGACAAGCAGCCCTTCTCTGTGCGAAATCCGAACCCTCTGCTACCTTCGCCTGCCAGTCTCCAGCTGGCCCAACTGCAGGCACAGCTCACCCTCCACCGGCTGAAGTTGGCACAGACAGCTGTCACCAACAATACTGCGGCCGCCACGGTGCTGAACCAAGTCCTCTCCAAAGTGGCCATGTCCCAGCCTCTCTTCAACCAGCTGAGGCATCCATCTGTGCTCGGTGCCCCCCACAGCCACACTGCAGTGCCCCAGCATGCTGCAGCCCTACCCAGCGCCCGGTTTCCCTCGAGTGCAATTGCTTTTTCACCCCCTAACCAGACACGAGGCCCAGGACCCTCTGTAAGCCTTCCCAGCCAGCCTCCCAGTGCCGTGGTGATGCATCCTTTCAGCGGGGTGATGCCTCAGACCCCTGCCCAGCCGGCAGTCATCTTGGGCATTGGCAAGGGGGGCACTGCTCCAGCCACCACGGGATTCTACGAGTATGGCAAAGCTAGCACTGGCCAGGCATACGGCTCTGAGACAGACGGTCAGCCCGGCTTCCTGCCAGCCTCAGCCTCTGCCTCAGGCAGTGTGACCTACGAAGGGCACTATGGCCATGCAGGACAAGATGGTCAACTTGCCTTTTCCAAAGATTTCTATGGACCCAATGCCCAAGGGTCCCACGTGGCAGGTGGATTTCCAGCTGAGCAAACTGGGGGCATGAAAGGCGAGGTAGGGGCCCTGCTGCAGGGTGCAAACAGCCAGTGGGAGAGCCCCCCTGGATTCTCTGGCCAGAACAAACCTGACCTTACAGCAGGTCCCAGCCTGTGGCCTCCACCGCCCAGCCAGCCCTATGAACTGTATGACCCCGAGGAACCCACCTCAGACAGGACCCCTCCCTCCTTCGGGGGTCGGCTCAACAACAGCAAGCAGGGTTTCAGCGGTGCCCGGAGGCGGGCCAAGGAGGAGCAGGCCATGCTGTCTGTGCGGCCCCTGCAGGCTCACGAGCTGAACGACTTCCACGGTGTGGCACCCCTTCACCTGCCGCACATCTGTACCATGTGTGACAAGAAGGTGTTTGACTTGAAGGTGAGTCATCCAGGGCAGGCTGGGAGCCACAGCTGGGAACCTACTCAGGCTCCCGGCCCCATCCAGCTGTGCCAGAAGGTGAACATTTGGGGTCTAGGGAACAGAACCTTGCCAGGACTCTTGATTAAGATGACAGGTATTAGAAACTAAACGAATTCACAAATGTGTCAGGGGCGTGGCCTTGCTTTAAGGCCAGTGAGAGATTCCTTGCCTCATTTATAGATGAGCAAGCTGAGACCCAAGGAGATGGAATGACCCCACCTGGGGTGCAGAGAAGGGCTCTGGGACTTGTCTCCTGCCTCCTTGTGGAGGGCTGTTCCTCTGTGTTGGGCCTAGAAGCCACTATTCCTCAAGTACAAGCATTGTATTGAGTTTGAAAGGAAAAGAAAATGTAGAAACTTGGAGTCATGGGCAGGGAGCAATTTTTAGGTGGGACTTAGACAAATTATTATAAGGGGCCTCAGCCTCATGACACCTTCCCACTGGTTTTAAGATGCTTTGAACTGCTATAAATAAAATCCCATTATAGTGTAATTATCCCCCCCCAAATTTATTGATGATGCAGTGATATATTCCAAAGCGATGATGATTGTAATAACTGACATATATTAAACCCTTTCTGTGTGCTGGGGTAACTCTATGAGGTATACCTGGGGTTATCTTCACTTCACAAACAAGAAAACTGAGGCACCGAGATGAAATGACGCACCTCAGACCTCCTATCTAGAAAGTGGCAGAGGAGAGATTCAAACGTGGCATGTAACTCAGTGGTGGGTCCTCGTTAGCATGTGTGAGGCCCTAGATTTGATCCCCAGCACTGCAGAAACCAAAACCAAAAACGTGTCTGACCCGCCCCTAGCCTGTGCCTCTTAGGTACTGGACTGTCCTGCCTCCAATTTCTCATTCAGTCATGGAATATAATGAAGTCCTTCCTTAGTGGGAGTCACATCACAGGGTGTTACTCACCTCTGCCTGGGTCAGATCATCCATGTGCGTCCCTGTGACTTGGTGGGACATGCCCTCTCACTTCCAGCTTAGGGAGGGAACTGGATAACTCTGGAGGTGCTCAAGGATTGTGTCTCTCATAATCCTTTTCTAAGGCCTTTTTACTGGTGAGTCCACTGGTCAGAATCTCCCAGTTGGCTACAGAATTGGGTGTGTTCTCTCTGCAAGATCAGAAGGAGCAGCAGGTGGGTCCCAGGGTCCAATGAAAGGGGATGAAGGAGTCTGACTGTGAAGTTTGGGTTACTGTCCAAGATGGGCATGGGATGTATGGACCAGGGGCCCCTGGAGTGAGGGCAGGGTGAGGAGGCAGAAGCAGGGGGGCGGAGGGAGGGAGAGGAAGATGTGCATGTGCAGGGTTGGACCAGCCTCTGGGAGCTCTGTGTTCCCTGCCTGATGATTACTCTGCACTCATCCTCTGCCTCCCTGTGATGCAATTCTACTTTAGTCATTTTTCTTTCCTTCTGGCCTAGGACTGGGAGCTGCATGTGAAGGGGAAGCTGCATGCTCAGAAATGCCTGGTCTTCTCTGAAAAGTAAGTGCTCTTCCAGAGATTGGATTCATGCATGCGCTCAACAAAATTTATAACACCCGTTGTCTGTTGTGCTCTGTGCTGGGTGCAAGGGAAACCACAGAGAACAAAATAGGCCAAGTCTCTGTCCACGAGGAGCTTACACTCAATGCAGAGGAGACACACAATGAAAAACTAGCATTCCTGGTGGTAAATGCTAAGCAGAAGGCAGCACTGGGGCAGGGTGGGAAATGTGTGTGCATTCACGTGGGCACTGAGGGCCTGGTCCTTGCATTTCAAAGAGGGCATTTGGAAGAGACTTCATTGAGGACACCTCAGGAGAGGATGGAATGAGCCTGGGGCTGTCTGGGGGAAACATATTCCTGGCAGACTGGACAGCAGGTTTGAAGGCCCTGCAGATGGTGTGGACCTGGGATACTAGACAACATCCAATGTGACCAGGGCAGAAAGACAGGGAGAGAAGACAGGGAAGTACCAAGGCCTGGGTCCAGAGCCCCCAGTCACTGTGAAGACTCAGTGCTGCTGTGTGATTGGAGCTATTGGACGGTTGAGCAAAGCAGTGATGTGCTCAGACTCCAGGACAGGTCCCTGACTGCCATGCTGAGAATAGACACTCAGCAGCCCAAGAAGATACCTAGAGACCAGTGGAGGTGGAGAAGAGAGGGTCTGGCCCAGGGGTGTAGAATAGACAACTGGGTTCTGTATTTTGAAATGGGCCCATTCATAAGATCTCCCCTTATTATTCGCAGCAGCCAGAATTCAAGAGCAGCTGGAACAAATGAATGAGTAACAAAATGTGGTCTGTGCACACGGTGGAATATTACTCAGCCTTAAAAAGAAAGGACATTCTGAAACATACCTCAGCATGCTTGAACTTTGAAGACATTGCACTGAAATAAGCCAATCAGAAAAGGACATGTACTGCGTAATTTCACTTGTGGGAGGCATTTAGAGAGGACAGACTCATAGAGACAGAAAACAGATGGTGGTTGCCAAGGTGTGGGAGGCTGAGAGTCAGTGTTTGGTGGACACAGAGTTTCTGTTTTGCAAGATGAAGAGTTCTAGAGATGGATGGCGGTGGTGGCCGCACAATAGTGTGGACGTGTTTTATGCCACTGACCCAGTATCTTCAAAATAGCGAAGATGGTCAATTTTATGTTGTGGTTTATCACAACTTAAAAATAATTTTAAAATTTACAATTCTGTGGCGTTTAGCACATTCATGAGGCTGTGCAGACATTACCACTATCTAGTTCCTAGATATCTTCATTCCCCCCCAAAGGAAGCCTCAAACCTGTTAAGTCTCTGCTATTCCCCTTTCCTTCCCCCACCTCCCAGAACCACCCGTCTGCTTTCTGTCTCTAAGGATTAGCCTCTCCTGGACATTTCAGGTAAATGGAATCCTATGTGACCTTTTGTGACTAGCTTTTTAAAACTTAACATAATATTTTGAAGCTTCATTCACACATAGACCTTTTCATGGCTGAACAATATTCCACTACATGTGTATGACATTTTGCTTAACCATTCATCTTTTGATGGTCATTTGGGTTGCTTCACAGAATATTATTACTGTGAATAATATTCACAGTATTCAGCATGTGCATACTGCTGCCATGAACAGTCGTGTACAAGTTTTTGTGTGAGGACCTGTTTTCAACTATTTAGGGTCTGTACCCAGGAGTGTAATTGCGGGGGCGTAAGGTAATTTTTCATTTAATTTATTGAGAAACTGGTTCACCTTCTCACCTCTCTCCAGTGCTGACATCCGGTGTGTACTGGCTTCGGCAGAGGGAGCGCTGTGTGGTTCCCCGACTGGCACAGCTGTTTACAGCCCTGCTAGAAATGAAGGTGAGCACAGCCCTACAGGTCACAGTTTGCAGTCAGCTACTGCAGGCTTGTTATGTCCTGTCTTTAAGAACCAGGACTTCTCTGATGCATCCTTCCTATGCATTTATAAAGCAAACAGATCCCAAGCCACTAGCATGCATCAGTATTCCCAGAGATATTTCATACTTACACGTATTGCTGATTACAACATGCCCAGAGATGTAATCATGCCAATCACTAATAAATGTGTTAAAAGGAAATTTTTAGTTTTCTCATCCCATGTATGTCCTTAGCATGACTCCAAAGTTTTCACCTGGTTTGTATCACTTATGATTTAGATTATGCCTCAAATCTTGGAACATCATACGCAGCCATTCCGGCAAGGCCATTTGCTCAGTCAAATCCTGCATTTCCTTCTGGGACAAATGTGAGTACAGAAGCCTTTTCTCCATTGTCATCCCCAAAGCATTTGCTTTACTTTCTGCTTCTGGGCTTAGTGGTGCAGAGGAGTCTGGGATGCGGCTGTGAGGATGAGGCTTTGTGTCCTTCAGAAAAGCATCCCTAGATGGAGCCAAGAGGTGCTGCCTTCAGTCCGGCTAGTATCGAAACATGCGTGAAGAAGCTGACAAAATTCTTCAAATCAAAGGCATTCACTGGCTCTCTAGCACTCAGCACTGGTTTAGAAAACAAAACGAAGTTTGAGCTTTTATTTATTTTTTTAATTCTAAAACCATTTCTGATGTTTTATTAAAGTAGGTCATTCCCTGTGTGAGGGTAATTCTGAAACTTGAGCCAAAAAGAGAGTTTTGGGCAGTAGGGAACACATACTAATTGTGTTTGCTGACCCCTTGGGGAAATGATTGGTGCCATCTAATGATTTTTGTTTTCTGTTTTTAGTTTTGTTCTCTCTGCATAACATGCATTTAGTACCTCAAATTCCTAAAGCTTCATCTTTCCTTTGCCCAACGGTTGTGACCCCCTTTCTTACACTACACTCCCTTTCTTACACTTCTTGCACACCTGCTGTGTGCAGCCTCCCACTCTGGCACATGGGACATGAGGCCAAACCGGTTACAAAGCAAAATGCGCCTGTGGCCGCACCCAGCTAGAGGGCGCCTGGCTCAGTGTTCTTCCCTCTGCCTGTGTTTTTCAATTTCTGTTGAGTGGAGCTGCAGCCTTTCTCTCTCCTTGTGCATAAGCTCTCTGCAGCCGCCCTCCACGTGCAGTCTCCTCCACATGTTGGGGCATTTGTGCAAAACAGGGAAAGAGCAGGCTGTGAAGTGTAGCTTCTAGACCCAGTGGGTGAGTGAGTAGGGAGGAGGGAGGTTCGTCACCACACACGAGGCCTGTCCGGACCCCAGAGTCTGTCTATTCAAGTCTGTTTTTGTGATGTTGTGTGGGAGAAGTGCTTTGAGATAGCACCTGTCTGGAAGCCCACATTTTCATGAAAGAGAATTTGATGGTTTCTTTCTGCATTCTCACCACTTAGAGCCAAGTCCAGGTCACTGGCAGCTTTGGGTCAGTCCCAGGAAAGTGAAATACTGGTGTGAGGTCCTTTGTCTTTAAGGACAGACCCCTAGCAACAGAACTTTATGTTCTGTGCCCTGACCCCCAGGGCACAGGGGGGTTTCCAGGCCCTATGTGTAACAGAGGCATCTGTGCCCACATCCTGCCCTGGGACTCCAACCCCAGGCACTGAGGTGGAGGGGACTGTAACTGAAATAGGAGGGCGGGACTGGGTGACAAATGGCCCAAGGGTCAGAGCTAGTACACAGACCACTTCTAGAGGTCTGGGCACAAGACAGAGAGTTGGCATCAACTGAGCCCCTTATAAAGAGAACTGGAGGGACCAAGGATGTAGCTCAGTAGAAGACAGAGCACTTGCATACAATGATTCCTCCCCCGTAAGTCCCCCATTCCCTCCCTCTCTCACCCCATAAGCTGCTTAGGAAGATCTGAGGCTACCTTGGGGGTGTCAGGGATTTCCCTAGTCTCAGCCAACCATGGAGCAAGATAAAGAGGCCAGTCATGTGGGGCATCCAGATTCTTCTGCACTGGGACAGCATTCCCAAGATGAACTCAGGCATTCGAAGGCATTTTCTATAAACTCCATGTAAGGGGAAAGCACTATTTGACTGGCTTTCTCATTATAAGTTCTCTGAAGTCTTGCTGGTCACTCGAGCCTTCCCAAGGACATCTGGGGGAGAGCGCAAAGGCTGCCCCAATCAGTTCCTGCTTTACCAATGGCTGATGTTCATTCACACCCTTCTGTTAGATTTTGGAGCCGTGTTAGCCATTTTTGGCAAATGGAATTGAAGGCACCCATATTTCTCTTTTGGAAAACCTGAAATGCAAATGTATTAACATGTGAAGACAAGTTGAGAAATGAAGAGCTGATTGATCAGTTACTGAAAAACATTTTTCAGGACTCCTTTAAGGAGCTGGAGAGTCCCACAGATAGATTATTGATTTTTTTTTTCTTTGTACAAATACTGATCTTCAAAGACAAGCAGGCATCAAAGGTTGACTCTGCTGTTACCAAAGGGTGCTCTGCCAGGCTCCAGTGAGTGCCGAGAGCCTCTTTTGCATACAAATTTATGATTTTCCTGCATACAAATGTTATGCTTATTGTGAAAATTCATACAGAAAATAAGGCCTTAACAAGGAGAGGGTAACCCCCCTCAGAGATCTCGAGAGGGCTTTGATGCTTTTCCCCCCACAGGCGTGTGCCAGGGTCTTCTGTTGAATTCCATTCACGTACATCTTTTCAGAAACATGTTTTGTTGGGTAAAATCAGGCATAGCCAGGAATTTGCCACTGTAGGATCACTATTGTCTGTGGTGCAAAGAGCCATTACTGCTTCTGAAGCGCCCTGTATTTAAGCAGGAGAACCAAGCCCCCCGGGGCTTTGGGATGGAGCCTGTAGAACATAGCTGAACTGCTCTGGATCTCAACTGACCCCAAAAACCATTGGCCACCACCACCACCACCCAGCTCTTCTGGCAACAGCTGGGCTAAATTTAAAAAACTTGCCTTGTCTCTGCTGGAGTCCAGACATTTCACTCCATGTTTATTTCTTGATGTTGTTGTTATTATTTGGTACTGGGGCTTTTTTTTTTTGAGTGCTTGACCACTGAGCCACATCCCCAGCCCTTTTATTTTTTTATTTTCAGATGGGGTCTCACCAAGTTGCTTAGTGCCTCACTAAGTTGCTGAGGCTGGCTTTGAACTTGAGATCTTGCCTCAGCCTCCCCAGTTGCTAGGATTACAGGCGTGTACCACTTTGCCTGACTCTCGGTGTTTATTTTTGACAGTGGAGTGATACTTGTGTGCTGTGTTTGCTGGTGGCAGGGTATTTGTGTCTGTCCCCAGTCCCTCCCACCTCACTCCAGGGTCTTCAGAGATGGGTGTTCCCTTTCACCTAAGCTGCCGCCATTTGACAGAGCAGAGGCTCCTGCTCTTTGGCCGCCTGAATAGTCATAAACAGCGTAATCAGGTTTCTGGAAGGGGCTGTTGGGGCCTTCTCGGGCTGTAAATAGTTTTCTTGCGCCTGCCTAAGGTGCATTTTGCCTGTAACTGTCTCCATAAAACCATCTTGCAGGTTTCACAGCCACCTTGGAGTTTATTTAGTGCAGGTGCTGTGAATGGGCCTCTCCAGCCTGGGATGAAACACATGGTTTTTATTATTTCTTTCTCACCAGTTCCCTGCACTCTGGGGACTTGTATAAAAAAGGAAACTGAGACTCAGGGAAACAAATGCTTGTGGAAGACCAAAAGGTTACATCATAGGTTATCCCTCAGACACTGGCTGTTTCTAGGACATCTGTCTGTCCTTCTGAGTTTATGGCTCAAAGTACTCTGGTCTCCTGACTTCTTGAGCCTCAGTAGTAGTAATTGATATGGCCTGTTCTACCTGCGCCCTGTCCCTGCCCTACCATCCCAGCTGACATGATTTCTGTCCCCTCAGCAGGGGACATTTTATGCATTTTTCAGCTACATGGGAGGCTAGGCAGGAAGATCGCAAGTTCTAGGCCAGCCTGAGCAACTGAGTGAGACCCTGTCTCAAAATGAAAAATAAAAAGGGCCGGGGATATAACTTGGTGGTAGAGCAACCCTGGGTTCAATCCCCTGTACTGCAAAAACAAACATAAATAACACAAGACGGGGATATGACACTTGTTCTCCTGTCTCTGTGAGTGGCCATCTTGTGAATAGCTTTTGTTTTTTGGGAAAGGAAGTAACACATGATGTAAAATAATATAATATAATAATAATAATAATAATAATAATTTCTGACATTAACAAATATGAAAAAACAGAAACTCCTTTTTTGCAGAGAAAACTATAGATGTCTTTTGCTATATCTACAGATAATTTTGGCTAATGTATGCATACATGTTTAATGAATAAAAGTCTATTTTTTTTGCAAAAGTAATGCCATATAATCTATCATGCAGTTTAGTGTTTTTTGCTTAACATGAGTTCTCATATTTGAATTGATTTCCAACACCTTCCCATATCAGAACATAGTCTTATTTTATAACATTTTATATTATGTGAATTTACCTTCATTCATCAATTCTGTGATTGATAGTTTTCAGTGAGACCTGAGTTTTATTCACAATCTGCCACTATTAATTTGACTGCAGATTAATTTCCTCATCTTCTCCTGGGCTTCCGTGTCCTCACATAGTTTGGGGTGTAGGCCAGACTACCTCCAGTTTAATCCCATGATTCCAAAGTTTACGGGGATAAAGTTGCCAGCATGTGAACCACCCAAGATCGCAGGCAGGTCTGGCACCAGTAAAAGTGAATTCACTCAAGTCAAAGCTAGTTTGCTCTATAAAATATTTGATAGTGTCAATAAAGACTTCCATGTTAAACTAAGATCTATAGCAATGCAATCCATGCCCATTTGCCATCTGCAATATTACCTTCAGAGTCGACATCATGAGGAGTAAACATTTGCCCTGTATCTGTCCTTAGGTGTGGTTAGCGCACAACTAGCAGAGGTCTGCAGACTCTGTGCTACATGCAATTAGGTCACACAAAGAGAGGAGGCTGAGGCGCACAAAAATCACTTACTGAAGATCGAATCTATACTCCCAAGTTCTAGGAAGCATGTTGAGAGACTTCTTTCACCTGACAGGCCTGTTGCCCTGAGCCACATCCTGATTGAAAGTTATTTGAACTGGGCCTCTTCTTTGAACTCATGTGCAAAGCCTGTTCCTACTTGCACCAAAGGGCATTGTAAGGTCTCAGAACCTTCGTATTCAAGTCTGTTTGCTTCTTTCACATTTCGCCTCGCTGTAAAAGATTTGTGGGTGAGTTGGGAGGTCTGGGCCCCAACCATCTGAACTATTAGAAGCAGCATCTGGTTTTAAATGAGCAACCCCAGTGAGCGAAAATGCATAGCCCAGGACTGTG